ATGGCTGTAAAGGATACTGAAAAATTTCCTGTATAGAAACTACTTCTACCTTTCAGTCAATAACATGCTGGGCTCCTAATGATATAGTGTCCTCCCAGTCCTAATTACCTGCACCAGGTGGAATTATTCCCCTCCCCATGTAGAATCTATAGCTAATTTTCCTATATATTCTATAGCTAAATTGTTTTGAGCCAGCTGTTAAACACAAAACACATATATCACTGAATGTTCTAATTACTGTGGATTTTAAAAAAATACTGAAGTGATTCTTTTTTTTTGTGCATATGTTAAAAATAGATTATTGCTAGGCTGAAAAACAACTGTTGGCAAATATTGATGAGTTTGCATTTTCCTGAAATGCTCTAAAAACATACATTTGGAGAAAGGGGACACAAAGGAGGTGAACTTTGAAATCATACTTGGGGTTTATGCGGAAGAGAAATGAAGGCAAATCTTCCTTTAATAATTGAACACAAAGCCCTGTGCCACTATGAATTTCAAAGAGGCTTTCTACATCCCACAGGGTCCAATTGCACATCTCATGCAATCACTGGGAATTCTGCAGCTCAGTGCTCAAAGGAATCAGGTCTTCTTTCATTTGAACTGTGTTTAGGCTTTGGTATCCCTACTCAGACCCTCCATCTGGGATTGGTGATTGTCAGTTCTGAACTTCAGACAGTAAAAGAGTTAATCACTATGCACATTTATCTCTCAGGACTGCTGTCTCCACCTATTACCTGACTGGAATATTTTGTGGACAAAAAGTGCAATTCATTAATTCAGTATTGCTATTCTAGATTTTTGAGAGATGAATGACATGAAAGGACATACTGGGTTTACAATGAAGACAGACACTTGCATAACATATTTTCATTTGTCAATTGGAAGTGGTAAAATATCCTTCCTGACATTGTTTCAGATTTCACACCGTTGTCTTCATAAAGGAAACTATCAATTTTGTTTTACTTTGTAGCTTTTTATAGTTGCAAAAGAAAGAATTTTACATATAAGGAACTTGATTTGAAGCCTTAAAACTCATTGAACATTATTCACCCAACAGAGACCTGGTGCAATGTAGTAGTCCAAGTCTGAGCTTGTCATCTTTTTATGCAATGAATGTTCAGACAGCATAGGCTACAATCCCTCTACCCTAGAGCAGATTGTAGTCAGCACAGGTGATGGATTTTATTTATAAAATATGTTACTGGTGCTTTCCCAAGAAGAGGTGATGCCCCTTGTCCCTCCTGAAGCAATAACTCTGCTCAGCTCCTCCACTTGGCTAAGGAGAGCAATGAGGACCTATGGCTAGGGGAATGGAAGTACATGCAAGCTCTTGTCCAGTCTCTATCTTTTTTAAGGCAGAAATGCAACTTCAGGTTCCACATAGGTAAAACACTGAAAACAGGTAATTAAGGAGAAAAATAGTGGCAGAAGAAAGTCAGCTGGCCAGAAGACTGGTGTTATACACACCATTCATGCTAGGTAATAAAGGTGGGAGGTGTCCTTGCCCTTGGCAGAGGGTTGGAATGAGATGATCTTTAAGGTCCCTTCCAACCCAAACCATCTATGGCTCTAAGATTTGTCATATATACATTGGTCTATACCTAAGCTTTAACTTTAGCTGGAAAATCTCCTTGTTGAATCCTTCACTCATTAATTTTGACCCTGACAATATTTTGGTTTTATTCCTTAGTGTTTTCATCTACTTGTCAGTTTTGCGGTTGAATTATTTTAGTGACATTGAAAAAGAGTTTACTGCTGTGACAATTCTGAGGTCCATCTCCATTAGCCCAGGGGTTGTTACTATGATGGTATTCATTTGTGGACTGTCTCTATTTGAAGATGTTCTGTTCCAGTGGCCCATGGATGAACTCTATATTGTCATAGCTTTGGGGTATGGACTTGTAATTTCCTGGAACATTATGATTGTTTTTCTCTCATGAGTACCAATGCAGATATATATCAATACTCCTTGTTCCTACTCTCCTGCTGTGTTATTGCTTATATGGCACAGGCTAAATGAAGGGAGATGAAAGCACTGTTGCTATGAGTCTGACAAATACAGACAATTAAGATCTTGATAATCAAGAACAAAGATGAAGAATTCAGTATATGGTGATATTTAAATGTGAAGTATTGTTAATTCCAGGGCAGTTTTTTTCATACACCCATAATGTCCCTGCTGTGTAGCTTCCACTTAGTCTTCTCCAATACATGAAAAAAATTTCCTGTGATCTCCTCTGTTCAATACTTGTCAAATTATGAATATTTATAACTATTCACCCTCCTACATTATAAACAAAAAGCACGTAGATACAAATACTTGTTTCTAGATAATCATAAGTTAAAACTTAAATGTGTAATTCTAAAGTTTCATTATTTTTTTTTAAATCAGACATGAATATTTTGTGATCTTATAGATCATTTATATGCACCTATTGCTGGCAAAACTGACAGATTTGGGAACACTGCCAGTTAAAAATTCTTTAGCATTAGTTTTCACACAGGATACCAAAGAAAGCCAATGAAGTGTTTTGAGAATTCCATCACCAGCTCAATAGGACATTTCTTGTTCTAAATCAGCAAGAGATTATGAGGAAACACAAGATAAATGTGTGAGTGCTCTATTACTACTGAGAATTCTGACTTGGTAGTATGCTAATCCCCTGTTTAATAACATTACATTTGTTTAAATTACTATAAGGCGATGGGAAATAAATAACAGGACAGGAAAAGGCGTAAGTTCTCCAAATTTGCTGCTGTTAAAGATAGTCTGTGTTGAGACAGAAACAACTAAACACATGAAAAGCAATTAAAAGAAAGTGATGATTCACTTTCTACATTGGGTTGTGCAAGAATTCTTGTTCAGACAAGTGTAAAAAGCCACTCCATCAAAAGAGATATCACTGTACATTGTAGATGGGCAGACACTTTCTGTGGTCAAGGAAGGACCCAGAAAGACAGAGTTGATCAGGGAAAGAAGCTTTCAAGGAGGAGTGCCTTTTGTATACTGTTGTATTTCACTTGGATTGTATTAATGAAGGGTGAAGCACAGAAGTGTATTTTAATGACTACTAGATGCTTTAAAATACTATCAAAACAGAAAATATACTAAAATTGTGGTATGTCACAAATTTATTCCCACTTGAAGAGTTAAAAATGTCCTACCACAGGACAGATGTTTTAATCCATTTTCTTGCTTCTTTCTGCTTTCTCTCCAGTTCCTGTCCACACTTTATCTGTCATTACCATCCCATTTTCTTCCCCATTTCCAGATATCTTTTGAGGAGAGGAAAACACAGGCACATTTCTCCCCTAACATAAGTACTGTCCTTTAAAATCTTACCTGACTGATCTTTAAATTCTTACCTGCCACATATGGTGGCACAGCAGTGAAGAAAAAACTTTAAAGCCAACTATTTAATGACAATCAAGGCCCCAGGGAAGGGTGACAGCTTCAGTTCACTTCCTAGATAGTCCTAAGAGCTCTCATTCTCATCTAAAAGCTGTCTAGGCCTTACCAGGATTAAAAGCTGTTCTTCCATTAAAGCACTGATAGTAGGTACGGAGGACACCTTAATGAGAATCTGACATCCCAGTAAGGCTACACAGCTTACCAGTCCAATGATCAGGTAGCTGTACCATTCTGATAGCAGCTTGTGGTATGTCATTCTGGACATAGGGAAGGGTTTTCATTGTTTAAGGAGAGTGATGCAGTTTAAGTGCATTAGCATGTGCTAAGTGAGAAAGAGAAGCATCAGTTTGCTTCTCTGAAAGCATATTTCTTAATTATAAGCTGCACTAAAAATCTTAAGAATATTTAGAATTTGCTTTACTGTTAAAATAAAGTATTTACAAATGAAAGCAAGCACAGTTCAGCCAAATTCTTTATTGAGTATTTCTTTCAAAACAGAAGTATAAAAGCACATTAGATAACAACTCTGAAACTTTGGTTTGCAAAATTAAGGAACCTTGAATATGTTTTTTCTACTCCACGAATATTTGGTTTTCATCTTTTGCTAATAAAGGCAAACAACTTTTATGAGTACAAAACTAGAGTTAAAAAATTGACATAATTTACAGACAAATCCACATTAGTACCAGACATTAGCAAGGCATGGTTTGATACAAAAGCTTTCAGACTTAGTCTCATTTCTGTAATACCTTTTTCCATGCTGAGTTAACTGTTTACATGCATTTCATTTATTCCTTCTATAATTCTCTTTAATAATCAAAAGAAGTGGGAAAGCACTTAAGGATCTCGATATATGTATTGGTATAGGATTCCTTTAATGGGAATGATTTATCTTATAAATAATGAAGTCAACATGATCTCAAATACACTGCAGGAAGCTCATAATGTCTGCTTTTTGCCTTTGTTTTTTCAGAGCTTCCATAAGCCGTGGTACTAGGAGGCATTTGGATATGCAGTGTAGGACAAAAAAAGAGGAAAGATACATTTAATATAAGGCATATTTGTTTGCTTAGAAAAGGTAACATTACTGATGTCATTACGACATTAAACACAAGATGATTTTTGACTTGTAAAAAACATACAATACTACTGAACCATAAGTGCTATGTTAACCTCTCATATTTCCCTAGATTACTCTAAAAGTCACCTGAGGTGTTTTTTTTTTCTAGAAATGATCTAATTTCATTTATATTTCTTATTTAGTGGAAATAATAATAATAATAATAAAAAAATACACTCTGTATTTTTCCCTGCTCTTTTTTAATCCAATCCTGCAGACACTTACTAGCCAGTGTAAGAAGGAATCCTGGTTCTACAGAAGTTAATGGCCTGCAGCTGTTCCAGGATCCTATCCTGCATAGTACTTACTATCAAGAGCAGTTAAAGCACCTCTGATGGACTACTCCTAGTGAGCACTGTGCTAGCAGTGAGTATCTGCAGCTTCACATCTTCTTGTGGATTCATGGTTCAGTTTACGCTATGTTATCAAAACAGCTTAATTTTCTATTGTTCTCATTTTTTAACACACAGTTCTTCTTCCTCTCAGAGACCATGTTGTTAATTTGTAATTCTGTGGATTCTATCTTGAATAGCCTTTAGGAATGAGCTAGTCTTGTCCTTCTTCTTGCTGTTCCCCCTGTAAAAATGGAAAAAGAGACTTAATTATTACTTATAATCATATATATTATAGTTGCACTATATACTGTATTTATTTGTGAAACAGACATGTAAAGAGTAAGGATGAAGCCTGGTGTTGAACATTTCACTCTTGTGCTGGCAGCTAGGAGATTAAAATGATCTCTCACCTTCTTCATTAATTGAATTACATATAATCCATGAGTTGTAAACCCCATGGTGGGGAATCCCAGAGAGCTCTTTTCACAGTGTAAAGACTTCAGAGTCAAAGCTCACATTGATGACTTTATTATCATCTGAGACACTGTTTAGCTAAAGCACATAATCTAAGCTGCTTTCAGATATAAGAAAAAAAATCTAGAAACCCAATAATTAACAAGTTTTGTTAACACTACTTTTTTCTTAAAATCAGAAATGCAACTTTTTCTTTTGAACTCTATATTCTTTAGAGGTTTTTCTTTGTCCTCCTGACTTTTAACATAACTGAGATTAATACTTGATACATGCTATAATGTTTAAATATATGTTTTGCTTTTACCTTGTGCCCTCCTGGTTGGTTGTGCTTTCCGTACAGGTGCGTCTAGAAAACAGAAATGTTGCAGTCAGAAGTTATTTGTTGGAGCCTTTGAATTAAAATTTATTAGAAATGTTGGAAAACCATTGCTGACTTTTGAAGTCTGTTCTTTTATGTTTTCAGTAAATTAGAATTTTGGCCCATTAGCATGTTGACGATTACATGAAGCACAAATGCTTATAATACAGTTCATACATTTCTGTCATGTGCAATCATCCATTAAATCTTAGAAACATTTCAAAAGTATTTTTGTATTTTAAGCATGTGAATTAATCCATTATCCACATTGGTCTTCTACAGGTGGTTACATGTTGTAGGCAGGTGTCAGGACATTTTGCCTATGCTCTTCATTCAGCAAATGCCATCTGATAGTGTCAGTGAGGGACAAGCTCAGGTTAATGCACAGTCCAGGACTCAGTCTCAGCTTTTGGCAGTGAATGGCCAGGTCTGTTGTATGGGCATTAATTCAGGAATTATTTATAAGTGATATGCTTGGAACTCAACAGCCACAAGACGCTGGCCACATTTCCAGGTGTGTTTAGGGCTTGCTTTGCAACTGCATTGTGAGTTCAGTCCACAGTACGATTCCACATTTAGAGTTCAGTTAATTTTTCAGACTTTTGTTTTAAAAGGTAGAGCAGACCAAGGGATATTGAATAGATACCACCTTCATTAGCAGATACATCAGTTTTCCAAAATACTGACTCCTTGAAACTATGGACACTTTTTCCTCTTTCTCATCAAACCGTGAGACATTTTTTAAACCAGATGTCTCCTCATTGGGTGGAAAAACCTTTCACAAGCATGAGATAATTCTGTTACTGCCACAGAAATTTTACTGTATTATTTTTCCTTCTTTACAAACTTGAACTACTTGTATATTCACTTAATAAGCTGCAATCAGTTCTCTTTTTATCCTGAGGTACAGGGTGTATAAATGCAGAGCCCTAAGATACAGGCTTGACCTCATTCAAGCTGGGGCTAAACACTGGGTGTCTGCACCACCATGATAGAAAATGTCAAGCTCTGCACTGCCCTGACAAGGACAGAATATGGTGCACCCAAAATATGTTTTCCATACTTATATGCTCTTCATACAATTATGCCTTCAGATAAGCTTCATGCTTGAAGATCACAGAGGCAATAGTAGACTTCCCAGCATACCTTGTACTACTCAACATTGAAGCTATACTTACAATACCTTCAGTATTTAGCACAGACTTCAAAATTTAAGAAGTAGAAACATATTTATTTAATTTCATTCTCTACAAGCCATGATAATTATTTCCTCTGAATTTAGTGCAAATGCTGAGAGAATAACTTATTTTACATTATTAGAATTAGAATTGGAAAAGGACAAGCATACAAAACAAACCCCAACCAATTTGTTTCTTAACTTTGAATAAAGATAATTTAAAAATTACTGTTAATCTCAAAGAACAAAATCCTGCTATAAAACCAGGCTGAATTATATTTGGAACCTTTTGGATTTTGACACCATTCAGGTTTTTCAAACCAAAGAACTTCCCTCATTTAAGAACAGGATAAGGGTAGACCACAGAGATATTTGCTCAATCCCAGAGATTATATTCTCTCCACCCTACCCGCCCCTTCACAATGCTGATAAACCCTCACAACAACAGATCACATTAACACTGACAAAAAATAACTCAAGTTAAAAACAACTCACGTGATCTTCTTCTGGACGTGCTGCATGAAGAAAAGTCTATTCTTATGGTGCATTTTCATTCAAATGTTTTACCTAAGCTTTGTGGTTAGACATTTCCTCTTGTCTACTATTCTTGCCAAATCTTTTAGTTATTTTTAGCCACAAGGTAAACCTCAACATTTTTCTCTGCAATGTCAGTGAAATAATTCTTTTCCAAAACTATTATAAAAGTCTTCTTGCTAAAATAGTGGCTTTGAACCTAGCCATTTTTGTGAATAAATACTGTAAAACCTCACCTGGAATGATCACTTTAGACAAAGCAGGTCTTAGTGATACTGGATTTTTAGACAAACTAACCTTCCAGATGGACTCTCTTGATTTCTCTCTCGATAATCTGTGGCTCTCCCTCAATTACTTTAGTAACCTTGGTGTACTCAGTTCCAGCTACGATAAGCATCAAAAACAAATGAGTTAAATCTGGCATAGCGTTTGCACATATGCAAGGAGCCTTCAGTGGAAACAATGTGATTTTGGGGCATAGGTATTGCAGGCTACCATACTATTCATGCCATAAGGCATGTTATTCTAGGGCTGAGTCATACATTGCAATCTCAGTTTGAAGTTTGTTTCAGCAAACACTGCTGATTATATTAAGCAGTGCTGGATGTTTTATGAGTAGAAGTAAAGTCCATATGAAATAATTTTTATTTAGACAGCAATAATAGATTTGCTTGTGACTGTACTGAAGTTGAATTTATTAGGAAATGTTTCCATAAAGCATAAATAATTTTATGTAGATAAGAGGGCCATAAAGCATTATCACCATTATCACCAACAACCTTAAAGCAGCATGTGTATCTGCTTTTATTGGCTAAACATATAGTAAAGTATTATCATGGCAGCCAAGGGTAGCTGACTGGATAAATCATGGAAAAGACAGAGAAAAATCAAATTAAAACAAGAGACATATCTGCCTATATGGTCCATTTGGTAAAGCAGGATGCTTATGCAAACTAATATATAATAGCAAGGAAAAATAGCAAGAATTCAAGAGACAATATTGTCTTTTCCAAATTTCCTACAAAGAATCTATTTATCTCTTTCTCACACACCTGTAGGTTCAGTGTAAGATCTATCTCTATGGATTATGTCTGTTTAACTGTGTACCACTGTAACTGAAGAATATTACAATTGCAGTTATAATTGTCAGATTCTGGCATCAGACCTGTCAATTTTGAACAGTTCTACAGATAAAGTTTGATGCTGCTCATTGTTGCCTGGTTTACACCAGTAAACCATAGTTCAGTATATAGAGGGATTTTCTTGCTGTAATTTCTTTCATTTCCAACTTTCCTTTTAAATAGTTAATCTCAAAACAGGAATCTCCAGAGAGCAACTCTTTTTCACATAGCTGGGGCACTTAAGATAGGATAAGATGAAAAACTCTGTGGAAGTTCCTGTTTCTCTCCAAGGACTATAGGTAAATCCTATCTTAGGTCTGTGAAACTAAGATTTAGATGTTTTAAACAGAATAAAGAATTACAATCAACTGTATTCATAGCATATCTTGGCTTTTCTCTAAAGCCAGCTGTGTTATCAACAAGCATGATTTTGTTGGGTAGAAAGCTGTTCAGCTGTTCAACCATCATGAAATTTTTTACTTAACTGAAGTTCAAGTCACATCCACAGAATAGTGCTTTTGAAGGACTACAAGATTTAGTTCAGTGAATATATATCTGGTTCTGAGATACTTTACTGATATACAACTTTGTAACAGACTAAAAAGTGAGCACAAAATGAAGTGGATTCAGTTAATTCATGCCATGTGAAATATCCATCCATATTTTTGAGCTTCTGAGTCAGGTCCACACTAACATTTACAAATAAACATATCACTTGAATTCTCTTTTTTTATTCCCCATTGCTATTATAGATAGCTTTTCTAATCTACATTAAGCAGAGAACATTCCAAATTCATAGATAGAGATTAATTTCATAAGCAGAAGTTCTTTTACCAGTTTTCTACATCTACTCATTACATATTGCCAAAATTGTTAGAATTAAGAGAGCAAGAAGAAAAGAAAACCATTCCTTGGATTGCTATATTTGAAGAGAATTAAAGTTAATGTCTTGATATCCATCACCTGTAAGCATTGAAAGGAGGATGCTAAACATGCCTTTAATTATTAACTTGAGGGCAATGAACATTCATTTCTGAAGTACTGATAAGTAATATGAATTTGGCCTGTTCCAGTACTTTCCACTCCATATGTGTTTTTTACAGATTTATATCTGCTGAAAAAAAATAGTGGAATAAATCTTCATTGCTCCCCTGAGTTTTAATTAGATAACTTTTTAAAGACTGAAAAAATCCCAATAATTTCTTTTCATGATCAATGTCATCAAAAATTGATTAATCAAACTTTGATACTTTTTTCCATTTCACAGTTATCTGGCACTTCATATACAGTATTCTGTGCTTTTTCCCATTAAAATTACACTTCCACTAGGTCAGTCTTTAAAATGTTGAGATCAACATGTCTGAGAGGGTTTTCAGTTATCATAACCTGTTACAAAAAGGTTAGTTATAATACACTGAATTACCTCCCTGCAGAAGTCTTTTGATTTCTTCATCTTCCAGCAAATGACCATCACCTTCAATAAATTTGGTCACCTTGGTAACCTCTGATAGGATACAGGTTATGGCAAAAGAATTGATTTACAGAAAACATTTGACAAACCTACGAGAGCATATTACTGAATTAATCTTGTCATAGTATTGTGCTGAGTTACCACATTATTCTGTTATGATATCAAATTCCACATAAACACTGAAAACCACCATATGTTATGACAAACATAGCATACTATCTATTAGACTCAGGCAGCCTCAACTCTGGATCTGACTGAAATGTGAAGATCAGGGACTCAAACCAGAATTTTGTACTTGGACACTTCTGAGGTTCTGAGGTTTAATCTCTGGATAAGATTTTGCAGTATGAGCACCATTGTTGAAAACATGGAATATCCATTTAGTAATTATGTAAGTTTATATATATAAAATTTTACTTTCTAGTTTTTGAAGAAAGGAAAGAAAACAATGATACTAACCTTCTTCAAGCAATTTCTTTAACTTCTCTTCATTGTCTGAACCACCTGCAGTAATTTTGGCATATTTTATTTCAGGACCTGGAAAAAATTTGTAAGACAGTGTATTTAATCAGATATAATAGGATTTAAGCTCTGTCCTAATGCATGAACTGCATTTTCTGGAGAGATGAATTTTGCCTAATGCTTCCCACTGTCGGTGTATGGCTGAAAATCTGGCCTTGTGTCCTACACACACATATACAGAAATGGCGACAATATTTTAACAGCATTCAAAATTGTGGAAACTTGTCTTTTTTTTCCTAATTTTTATTTTCATATATTTTCTAAGAGTCTGTATTTGCAAGCTTCTAGCTACCATTTCAAAATGAGACTGCTTTTATTGAATTTTTGTAGTCTGTCTTGCTTTAGAAAGAACAGGTTTTGATTATTTTTTTAAAAAGTTTTGAGTTGTAAATCTCCAGATAGATTTCATTTGACCAAAGGTAGATGTTCAGTGTGTAGATACCTATTTTTGCATGTCATCCCAGTCTCTCTTGACAATCATTTCAGAAACATATTTCTGTTTCTCTGTAAGGAGGGGACTTGATCTGGCATGCACAAGTTAAACATTTATATTCAGCTAATAGGAGATGAAATTAATATGCATCTGTGTCCCTTGATTTTCTCACAGAGTAACTCTCAAATTCTTCGGCTAATTTCAATTGTATTTGACCTACTACAGAGATATTTCTTTAAGAAATCTAGGAACTGATAAGTGGAGTGAGACATATTTAAGCATATTATACAAGATATATAATTCTTTATTGACACCTTTTGATCCCCTTGGTTAAATATCAGTTTGAATGCTGCCATTAAAATTCTGTCTAACAGAGCACTTCTAAGGAAAAGACAGTATTAAAGCAACATATTGACTTAGCTGAAAGTCTTAATATTTACTTTATTTAGAAAATCTTAATTCAACTGAAGAAGTCATTCAAGCAAGACTGAAATAAAGAATCAGATTTAAGTTATTCTCATACAACTATTCACTACAATGAAAATAACTAAATGAAAGACATGGGTGTTTTCTGAATAAAACTGGGACTATTTTCCAAACAAAATTTTTGGTGAAGAAAAAAAAGCACCCTTTTCTCAATTCTCAGACAAGTTTCACTAATATCCCACATGAAATGCCAAACATAATGTAAAATGCCAGCATTTCATATATCTCCTTCTCTTCCATCTGTAGGCACTGATAAAGAACCTCAAATGTTAAGCTTTCAAATGATTCACAGCAGTAATAAAAGCAAAAATATTTGCAACAGTCAATCCAGACTAATCTTGCACTCCAGAAATATCTCATCTATGACCTAATATAACAAATTGCCTAAAACTGTGTCTTACTTAAAGAATCTAAGCAGATATTTACTATGAGTATGTTAAATTTGTCTAAGTACTTTCCTGAATAGCTAGCTCTACTATTTTTCACCCTCTTTCAGTTTAATTTGGGACACAGTGAAAGATAAAGTTATCATACAAGGAGATTATAGCATGTTAACTATGGAGCCATCATAAGTATCAATTAGGAAAAAAAATTGAACTTTACTAAGTATGAATAAGTCAGCATAATTTACCTTGAATAATTCTTTCTTCTGTTACTTCCACAGGTTGTCCATCAATGATTTTGGTGTATGTTTTAATAATTGGGTCTACAAGGATTTTTAAATTGAAGACATTAATCAAGTAATGAACATGTTACAAGTGCCGCTCTTGAGATGCGGAAACTGACTGGACCACACAAGCAAATACTGTAGCATATTTTTCAAAACAATAAAAATGTTCAGAGGAGACCAGGAACTAATTTTCCTTAAAATTTAGCATGGCCACATGTTTTTTTTACTTTAAAAACATCCTAGATAACTTCTCAATGCTCCTAGCAAAACAGAAGGCAAAGTTTACCTCCCTGTCTGATAAAATTGCCTTTCTATCACAGAATCACATGCTGAATATTTGATTGCAGGACCACAACCAGCAAATAATTCTTTACTGAAACAGATATTATGTCAGTCTGCAGAGCATTCCTAACACTGTCTTGAATGCAACTATGGGACACAGCTAGGCAAAGAACCCACCATTTTTTGAAATGCAGGAGAAGTGAGAAAGAAATGATGCAATAAAATTACAGCACTTCACAAAGATCTTGCTAAAAACAGAACAACTGTCTAACATGTCCCATGAATCACCTAGATAAAGTGGAAACTGATTGGAAATAGTGAATGTTTCATATTTTAACTAATAAAAATTGAGTTGCTGAAAGAATACCGACCTCCATGAATCACTTTAGTTATTGTCTCCCCTTCCCTGACTATTTTGAACTCAGGCTCCCCTTCAATTAATTTAGTGATCTGTGTGATAGACGGGTCTGTGACATAGGAAAAAAACAACATGTTACAAATAGACATAAAATATTTATGGTATTCCTTGGGGCTGAGGTGAAGCTTGCATTATCTCCCCATACCCTGAATAAACCAGATGATTGCAATTGAGCAGTGTTTAAATCTGAGAAGTCATTTGTTGCACTACTGTACAATTTTATGCTTCCTCACATGCTATCTTAAATTTAGATCCTATCGCATGCTTAATATTTACAATTTTAATCTTTGGGTTTTTTACTTTTATGTGTCTGATAATTTTAACATTTGTTGACAAGTCTCAGGCAAAAGAACAGATCTTCAGCAGCTGAAAGGAAGTCTTTTTCTGTATATATTGGTAAGAAGGCTGTTCTGTGGTGCTGCTGGAATCTTACAGCTCTTGCTCTGCTAGTAATCAACATGCAAACTATACGGTGAAAAAGACAATAACGGGAAAAGAAAAGGAGAGAGATGTTTATGAAGACATTTCCTACTACCTTGATAGATATCCAAGACTAAACTAGGTCTTTTAATCAGTATTCTTTTATGTTGGTTTTGGTGTTTGGTTGTTTTGGGGGGTTTTCCCCTTTTTTTTTTTTGTTTGTTTGTTGTTTGGTTATTTTTTTTAAATTTAATTTGTTGGTTTGTGTTTCTTTTGCTTGTTGTTTTGAAGTGAAACTTTATTTTTTGCTTTGGTATTTTTTTACGTGTCTTGATGTTGGGGGTTTTTGGTTATTTGGTTGGGGTTTTTTGTTTTGTTTTGTTTTAATCTACCAAGGCTTGGCCAGTGGCAACCCAGCTTAAGAAAAGCACAACAAAAAGCAAATTTATGAGATGAACTGGAATGGTTGTAAGGGTATTTGTCAGCATTAGTGCCTATCATTAGCATTAGTGAGGTCATCTTAATTTCAATTCTCAAGACAAACTCCTTCATCTTGTGCAATTCCTATAGATCTCACTGATCCAAATGTAGCTCTGACTGGCAGGATGGAGCAGCAGATGCTAAATAAATTTGTAACATACCATCAATGTAGTCAATTAGCAAATGCACAGTATGGCAACACCTTCTACTTAAGAAGCTGCTGTAACATAACCTTCCTTTATTCCCTATTCAGAGGTAGAGACTTAGCACAGTACATGTCTTTTACTTTCCTTAAAAATCCCTTAGTTACCTTTATATGAATTTTTGTAGAAGTCAATACTTCTTATTATAATGACTGATCAGAAATTAACAGGTTTAAAACATGTGTTCTTGTGTTAATTGCTGAAAGTAGTCAATTTAGGCTAACTAGTGCCCTTCAACAGTAACAAATCGAAGCACCTTTTTTTTCTTAATTTTCTGCAGCAGATGATTGCGTAAGTTAGACTTTGGAGCTAAATAATTCATTTATTTGCTGCAGATGAGACGATATGATGGGATCATAAAGATCCCCAGTTATTATAGAGCTCTATTCATCTACTGAGTTTTACATGGCTGAATAAGTCATTGCTTTTTCTTTTATTTTCTTACACATATGGCTGAAAAACATTCATAAATATTTTAAAGAAGATTCATTCTGTTTTAAATTTAGATGCATTTTTTGCATGTTGAGATTCCATTGAATACCAATGTATATTGATACAAGTGATGCATATAATTGAAATCATGTCAAAGATATATTAAAGAATTTTTATAAATACTTCTTCTATTTTTACATTTCTAAATTTCTGTGCCTTCCCATGTGATACAGAATATATATGCAAAACAAATAGTAAAGTCATTTGATGCTGTATTGCTTAGTCTAGGATCAATCCTTTGAATATTTACACCATTAAGATTTGTGTTTCCATCAGATTTAATGCTTTAGATCTCTTTAATCTTTCAGATCCCATACATGTCTATGTATGGACAATAGAAACACAACTCAAGTAGAAAACACTGATACAGCAAAAGGCAGATATCAGCCTCTAAACCTGGTGGCAGAGTTGCCATCTTTTAATGGAAATCTCCTTTTCATCATGATCTGATAAACTTCCTGCAAAAAATTAACATGCAAGTTTGGCAGATTTTATCTACAGATAAGTGTGGGTTTATGGGGTTCTGATGGGAACTGCTGCTCACTAGTGGTACTACTAGCAAGCTCAGAAGGGCCAGAATTGGCTTTATCTGGTCTCTATTTGAATCACCAGCAGAAAGGCTGAATTGGCCAGACATTGCTACCTGGAGTGTGTCCCAAACCAGAAATACTGTACTGGCAATGGAAAGGAACTCACTTCAGTACTCACTGACTTATAAAATTAATTTTTCTCCCTTTGGTAAATAAAACTTAGTCCTACATTTTACTATAGAATATACTATTACTGTTTAAAAGACATTTTTTTTCCAATTAACTTTCAGCTTCTAAACATCCATATATCCTGCCTATGGATTTACTGGAGAGGAGCAGGTGTTTTCAGAGAGTGATTCGCCTGCATCATAGGAAGGTTTCTAAAATGCCTTGGATGAATTAACATGTGAAATAATCTATCCATTTTTTTTGCACTGTGGGTCTGATTTAATGATGGAGACTAGGAAACAAAGATCAGTATATATGCTAGGTGGTATCTAATGCTAAATGGGATGAAGCACAGACAAACTGCTGAAAAAGTAAGCACATTTCACTTTTGCTGGAAGGACGTCCTTCCAGAAACACTGATTAAGCAGTCTGGATAAAATCCTTTGCACACCATTTTTAACTGCCTTTCTCAGCTGAGTCCAAACAGGTTCCCTTTGAGCATTTTTATTTCAGTGGGAAACTGGTTCTCATTATTTGTGTACCTGGTCTGGTGAAACCAATGAGTCTTTTAGTTAAGTCATAAGTCATTAGTGATTTTAGCAGTTTCAGCCCCACTTTCTGTTTTCTTCAGTTCTACCACTAATCTTTAAGTCATGCTTTTGTCTAGAGAAATTGAACAAGAAAGTTTGGCTAAATAACCTTTCCAGGCATCTGACAGATATTGGTAGTTAGAACTGATTAAAAACTATAGGGAAATGAATCAATCTTTTTGTCTTCAAAGTATAAGAAACATATTTACTTAATTCTAAAAAAATAAGTGTTTTAATAAAAAAAAGGAATTTTTTGGGGAAAAAAAAGCAACAAAAACCCACAAGTAATAAAAGAAATTATTTTAAAAGAGATTATTTTCAAATATTTTTAAATGCCTGTAGAAAAAGGCAAAATTCCATTTGGGAAGAACAACTGTGGGTAAGTTTTTATGCAAAATATTTCAGTCAGTTCTAATTGCAATATTTGTATCTTTGCTTTTCCAGCAAAGTTGAGCATCCTGGATTTTCTATGTACAGTATATATCCTGTTAAAGAAATATATGCAATATATATTCTGGATATGTATATTCCCATATGCAGAAATATATATACTGAGGGCCTCATTTACCTTCCTTTCTGATGATAGGATGGACGTTGCTTTCAATTATGTTAATTTCTGAAAATATAGAAAATGGAATACAGAGTACATTCCATTCTTACAATTTCATTATGGCAATGATCAGTTAGATTTAGTCTGCTCACAAGGATGTGAAGAAATTCATAGATATAAATGGGTGAAACTCAAAAGGATCTAGAGTATGATTCTTGGTTCTAGTTATGAAACAGTGATCCATGCGAGTCACCTGCAGACAGTCTGCTGGCATGCTATTTGTCTTGCTTATGCCTTATGAAACCCATTGATGATGAGATCCATGACAATATATGGTACATAATAATGGTTCATGTAATTACTTGCACAAAGATTTGCACAATTCCCTGATGTATCTTAAATGTATTGCCCTTTTCATTAGAGAGCTGATCTGATAGAGGAAACCTGACATGCAGAACTGTAGACAGAATATCACAGAGAATATAACTGTAGTACCCTTGGGAGATCAAGTTGTCCCTCTACACCTAGGACAGACTCAAGTATTCATTGAACATCTCTGATAGTTACTTGACTCATAGCCATTCATGGTAGAGAAGCCCTCACCAGTAGAGGCCCCAGTCTTCCTGTACCTGCATTCAACTATATCAACAGCTACAGTTTTCCTGATGTCTGACATTGACCTCCCTTGTTTCATTTTACAGGCATTGCTTCTTGTCCTGCTCTCACAGGCCATGTGAAGTAGAATCATAGAATATCTTGAGTTGGAAAAGACACATAAGAATCATCAAGTCCAACTCCCTTCTTCTCACAGAACTACTTAAGAGTAAACCATATGGCTAAGAGTGTTGTCTAGAAACTCTTTGAACTCTGACAGTCTTTGTTCCATGCCCACTTCCCAGTGGAGGTTTTTTCAGTGACCATACAGACTCTGGGTGAAGAACCTTTTCCTAATGTCCAGTCTGAAATTCCTCCAACATATTTTCATTTCATTTCCTTGTGTCTTATTGCTAGTTAACAGAAAGAGAAGATCAGCCCCTCCCTCTCCCCTATCCTCATTGGGGAAGGTGTGGGCTGCAATGAGGTCACCCCTCAGACTTCTCTTCTCCAAGCTGAACAAGCCAAGTAACCTCATCTGCTCCTCATAAGTCTTGACCTCAAGACCTTTCACCATCTTGTTTACCCTCCTCTGGACACTGGGCAGCGGAGGGACATCAAACTATTGATGCTCCAAAACTGCACACAGTGCTTGAGGTGAGACTGAACCAGCCCAGAGCAGAGCAGGACAATTGCCTCCCTTGATCATCTGGAGATGTTTTTCCTGATGCACCCCAGAACACAAAACATGGTTGGCTCTCCTGGCTGCCAGGGCACACTGCTGACTCATATTCAGGTTGCAATCAAGGTAGAATTATTCCATTTTTGGTTCCAAGAGTTTTTTAACTTCGATGTGTCCATTCTCAATGCTCAAAACCGTAGTGTAATTGTCTCAATTTCTACCGCAGTAGAAATTACATTTACTCCCTAAAGAGAAAACAGTCAGAACAACTGTTTCCTATACAAGTGTCATACTTGGACCTATGGGAAACAGGTGGAACAGGTACACTCTGTACCTCTGGAAATGTTTATGAGAAAGGAAGCATCTCAGTGCACAGTTTGGTCAATGCTACATCTTGGAGAATGAGTACAGTACAATGCTATGCCTTGTAGAAAGAGGCAGTACAATTCTGCTATGCACCAAGCACTGAACCTTGGCTAAAAATTGAACAGAAATCTTTTCCATATGTATCTTGACTAGCCCAAAAAGTTTGAAGAGCTTACTTCAGGGTTACTTTCCAGTCACACATCTGGAAAGGGAAAGAACACATATAGTAGCACAACTGCCAGAAACATTCTACTTTGAGCCTTTCTCTTCCTTTGCTTCATTGGCATATGTTATTTTCCCAGAAATTACTTTCTTTTTTTATTAAAAGAAAGAGATGTACAATTCCAGATTTGAATTGGCAACATTTAAAAAGCAATTTCAAACCCATCTGGAAGTATTAAACATGAACTTACTGTAAAATGTCAGTGGAATCTCTTTGAAGGTACTGTCACGAACAAACTATAAAAACAGAAAGGCAATTTTTAAATTAGAAAGAAGAAGCACTGGCCTTATAGTTTCTTGATGAGTGTTGGTAGGATTCACTGCTTCAGTGATCTAAAAGTTAGGTGATGTTATTTGTCTAGGTCCTCTCATTCATTGTTGAGGAAGAATGCAGTCTCAAGAGGACAGCTGAGATAGATAAGGATGCTGCTTTTCTCCACAGGCTACTGATGCTGGTGGCTTTAATGACATAGGAAGTTAGCCACTCAACATTTTTTCAAAAGGGGGATTGGCTCAAGGACTCAGAAGTGATTTTCCTAAAGTGATAAAATGTAGCTGAAACAAAGAGCAGATTTGGGCCAGTTGACACTGGAGTTACCCAAATGCAAATATTCTAAAATTACCTAGTCTTGAAAAACATGAATTCTAACTACTGAGTGCAGGGTAGCATTTATGAATATATTTGGGCAACTGGGAACTATTGAATGCTGTCTGATGAAGAAAGAAGGGACCAGATAATCACTTATGAATTATAAAGTACACAGTTTCACAGATCCTGCCAAAAATATGAAGGAATAATTACTAAAAGAGTACCTTAATTTGAATGTACTTAATCAACTTCTTCAGGATTGTGAGCAACTGATGATTTCCAACAGGCAGATCTGACAAAAGAAATAGGCATGTAAGAGGAAATACACAACTGTGCATTTTGCTTTCATTTAGAGTGATCAGATGTAATCACTCCTAAACACTCACACAAGTATGTACTTGTACATATATATTCTTCCATGTCAGTGGAAAAGGTAACCTATGACATCTTGTCTTCCATATTTCATAGACTTTCATAGAATTTCAAATAATTGGCATGGTTTCAAACAAGGTTCTTCCACAAAATGAGCAGCAAGATAAATTTTCTGTTGCATATTCCACACAGGAATTGTATCTTTAAATTATTTAACTTTTTAAAAGCTATTGCAGCTACATAGCATGTAAAGAGATTCAGAAGAGTGTGTATAAATTCCCTGAAGTAATACTCACCTGCTGGATATAGGAGTTTGTCAATGACATGAATGACACCATTTGTTGCCATGAGATCAGATTCTCTTGATTTCAGTTCATTAACTAGAAGAGTATCATTCACCTGGTAAAGGATCAAAAGCGAACACAATTTATCAGGGACATTAAAAAACAACCCCAAGCCCTATTATAATATTTGCAGAAATGCATCCCATTCTGTAATGTGGATGGACATGGAATGTCAAATCCCTGTTACAAAGCTTTAGCAGGGAGACTTTCTATACTTAACTGTTTTCAAGTAGAGTTTCCCTCCTTGGATAGTTTTAAGAATATTTGTCACACCAGGCTCAAAGCCACTTCCAATGAAAACCCCTTGTGTCAAGTGGTAAAGAAGAATATTCCTGAGAGCATTTTTGTCTCCTATTGAAAAAGAAATAAAAAAGTAAGAATAAAAATTAAATGAGAGGGGATAGTTCTTTCTAGAAATTCTAAGGATTCACACATTCTTGAGTTGGAATTAAATACAGTATGAATGAGAATGCGATGAACACATACAATTTGAATCAGTTAAAATGATGATGAAAGGAAAAAATCCAGCCCTATGGCAAAAGGACATTAGAAACATAATCATAAAGATCCTATGAGAATCTTATACAAAAGAACAGAAAAGAGGCTAGTAGAGCAATCAGGAGTGCTGTTTTTGTCTGTTCTTGCAGAGAACAGATGCAGCTTGGAGAAGTAGGG